CTTCACACTTGAAGGTTGAATTTTCTTGTTTTGATTTCGTGTATAAATAGATAGCTAAGCTTATGCAATTATGTGTGGAGAGATTGAGAGAAACACTAGAGAGAAAGAGAGAAAGAAAGAGGGGTTGTTATTGTAAACTTTTCATTATTGTAAGCTTGTTGTTCTTGAAATAAAAGAGTGTGTTTTATCCCCTCCGAGTGTTTCAAAGCCACCACAAGTGGTTTCTCCCACCAACACTGCCAGAGTCATGCTATCATTTTAAGAGAAGAAACAGCATGAACATGATTTTCATTAGAACTATCTGTAGTCTTAGTTATGTTTCAAAAGAAATTGAAAGGGCTAAAGGTGTTTGGAGGCTCAACAACGGGCGTAGCAGCATTGGGGTCTGCTAGAACAGCTTCTTGATCATCAGAAGCCTTAAAGGCACTTGGGACTAGCGTTTTGCTTGCCCTAGCACACATGCATGATGTCTTGACTTTTTACAATTTTCTTAATAAAAACTTTTTATAAAAAAAAATTAGATTTCTATCAGAAAGAGGTACAGAGGGCGCCTCCTCTAAAAATAAACAAAGCCCTCCTTGCATGAAGGGCGACTAATGCATTCTATACATTAACCCAGCCATTGTTAATTTTGCTGGCATCAAGCTGGAACATCGACCAACATGGGCATTTTCAAGCCCATTCTAGATGATTCTTGGAAAATTCCCTACAGAGGGGAAAGGACGAAGCAGCTTGATCTAGATTGTTTCTTTACATGAACTGCCACCACACCATGTAAGTATTTCATGGCGTCTCCTTGTTGCTCTATTTTCTTGCTTTCATTCAATGATATCTTGGTTCTTGGCTTTCCATTTTTTTCCCCGCTCTTTAACAATGCAATGAGTTGCGTGAAGTAAGTTCAACGTCCTGAAAAAAATTTACAGAGCATAAAGATGTTAGCACTAAATGAAAATAATGGAAATATTGGTGCATCGATCATTTACTTATTTATTGAAAATGATGGAATAGAACTGGAAAAACACCAATTTCATACGGTATCGGTAGAAAAATACTTCCAAAACCACATTATGGAATACACTCTAACGTGATCTATTAAGTAACCCATCAATCTTGTATTGAAAAGGTTAGAGCGAGTATTACTTCTTTTTTTAAGGCCAATTAGCCGCCGAGCAGCTGCGTTTATGTTTGCTTGTGATTTTGCCATGAATTAAGGTTAGAGCAAGTATTACTTCTTTTTCATGTTTTGTTCATAAGCCCTCCCTTTCTTTAATCCCTCGTCTCTTGTAAATTGGTGCTCGAAGACACTAAAACCTCATCTTTTTTGTTGCTGATTGTGCCTTTTCTTTGGGCTATTGCAGTACCAGATATTGCTTTTGATTTTCTGCATCGCTTCCCAAATTTAGCTAAGACATTTGATGAAGTTCTGAAGTCGAACTTTGTTTGGTTTGTTTCTCCTGCCTCGGATATTTCCCAGTGACGGTCGACTTGCATTTCGGCAGCAATGGATTTTATTCATGTTAGTGTCTCTTCCCTCCATTTTTCCTCCTCAAATTTCTCTTTATTTCCTCTATTCAAAACGTATATTGTTCTATGTGTTGGAGATCATCACATCATAATTGATATACATTTTAGAGAGAGAAGAAAAAAAGTCATTTGACCGCTCTTTTTTTCACAGGTGAGATATTATTTTTTACCAATGAAAAAATAGAACTTTAAACTTTTTCGTGTTTTCACATAAAAATATTTAAAAATAAATTATGAATATATCTAATTAAATAAATTAAAAATTATTTGTGTAAATATAAAAATAATTATTAATGATAAATAAAAATAAAATTTAATATATATATATATATATCAAGATATTTAATATTACATGTCATTTAACCATTTATGTTTAATGAATTTTTTTATTGAAATTATTTTTTTATTAAATCAAATGATAATAAAAGCTGATATACATAAAATAAAATTAATCGAATAAAAAAATGATATGAATGGTTACAAGAATTAGAAATATCATTCCCAAATAAATATTTTATTTTAAAAAATATATTTAATCTATATAAAATAAAAATATATAAATAAATTATATTAATCTCTTAAAACTTAAATACATATAATATAATTAAAAATTAATTGCCACTAAAAAAAGTTAAATAAGCCAACAAAATCATAAAAAATTGTGTTAACTAAAATATAAATTTAAAAATTAATTAAAAATATATATAAAATATTAATTAAAAAAATCAATCTAGTGTTGTTGTTGAATCTAGTAAACCAAACTAGTTATCTGGTATATTAGAAAAAGTTCAGTATACTAGTTTGTAAAAGGAGACCTACATGTAAGGATTCTTAATTTTTTTATAAAAAAATTGATGGAATAGATTACATGTTATATAAAATTATCTAGATTTCAGCTAGAAAAACAAATTCTATATTGTTTGACTTAAAATACAAAGATAAAATCCCAAAAAAACCCAAAATTAATTTAAAATCAAATTAGATAATTTTAAGATAAAAAAATTTAAGTGGAA